TCTAGTAAAAGTCCTTGGTCTATCTCTCTTCTTGTTGAATCCACAATACATGTCAGTGAGTGAGAGTTCAAAAATGTGGATGGAGAATAAAATGATAAATTGGCCTTTCACTTTTTGGCCTCAATATCAAGAACAACACATCAATAGGATCCTTTATCAGTTATGATTAAAGCATCACCATCTTAATTTTCTTTTCATAAGCTCAAAGAGATCCATGCGAGTATATTTATATAGGTTTACAAGAATACCTAATACACGTCATCATAGTTTCCGGTGGAACATAAGGTCTCAGCGTTACCCGTTCTGTCTACACTGCTTGATTTCATCTTCGCATGATCTTCGCCAAGTTGCCCCGGGACGCTGAACCCGGGGTTTTTCTTGGAGGTTCCACTAAAGCTCGTGTTTTTTAATGTCTCAGGATGGTTTTTCAGGGTGCCCCCAATCCATCACCACTTTCTATGGGTATTTGATGACGATCAGGTCTTGGTTTATTGCTTTCTAAAGGTTCTTGTAATTTATCTTTTCTGGCCCTCTGGTTATTAGTATGTGACACAGACATCTGTTCTGTTTGTAGTTTGTTTGAGGTGGTGTTGGGTACTCTCCATGTTACGGATCCGTAGAGGAGTACTGGCTTCAAATTACCTTTGTATGTGCTGTTGATATCCACACAGGCTTGAGGTGGTGATACTCGTCCTGCTTTACAAATCAAATGGCTGAGAAAATGCTGCCCAAATATGTGGAGTCTAGTATGTCTTCCAGGTTATGCCCACCAAGCATGGTGTTTGCTGTGAACCCGGAGTCGCATAACCTCTATCTTGTCAATGTTGTTCTGTAGATCTGTCTTTGTTGCTTCCTTGTCTAGCATACATGCATTGATCTGATTTCAATAATATGTGCTCATGCTTCTGGGACATAAGACATAGTTCGTGAGCCAAGTCGAGGTCTTCCAAACCCTGAATGAAAGTCCAATGGAACTCCTGTCTTGACATCTCTAGTGGTTTCCCATAAAACTCGGTGCACCACCACTAGGAAAATCATCGATGAAAATAGACAGCCTTGTCTTACACTCTAGATATCTGAACCTCGAGCTCAAAGGCATCCCTATGCTTCCCGTTGTGGATGATTTCGCATGTAGTCTCTTTTCTTTTTTAAGCGGTTTAAGAAGGTAGGGGGCGTTCCATGATGCTGAAGTAGGTTCCTGATTACTTTTTCTGTCAACACTATCAAAGGCCTAAAAGTCAACGAAGCTGAAATACAGTGTTGACTGCCACCATAATTACTGTTCAATTATTATAAGGAGATAGACGATCTGGTCTGTACAATATTTGTCTTCGACAGGTACTTGTACTTAAGCTTAACTGTTCAAGACAAAGTCGTTTTTTTCTTTGTCATCTTTAAGTCATTCCAGTACATGTATTACTCTTGTCAGGATTTTGCTTGATGGCGCGGAAAGCATGATGCCAGACCAGTTCTTGCATTGTTTCAGCTCTCTTTTCTCGGAGAACTTCACTAAATATCCCTTTTGCAATCTCTGGTTCCTTCCCCTCTTGCCAGATCTTCTGCAGGAAAGGTAGTACTATATTTGCTGAAGTCTTTATATCTTCCCTTAAGGGCTTCTAGAGGAATTACATCGGGTCTAGCTGCCTACCCATTCTTGAGTTTCTACAGGACCTTAATGTTCACTGCTAGTTCAGTGTTATGTTTGGTGGTATGTTTGGTGTTGTTTCGGGTGTTGGGCGATTTTCAAGTTCTTTGAAGTATTCTCTCCAACCCTTTCTCTGGTCTTCCTTCATTCGTAATAGAGTTGCCTGTGTCATCTTTTACTGGCTTGGTCTATAATGGTCTCTTGGAGCCAGGAATTTTGTTACTTCGACAAAGTAACTTTGTTCATGGTAATGGAGTCTCTTTTCTCTTTTGCTTCCTCATCTTCTGTGGGAAGTGTATTATAGATTGATTAAATGATTGTACGTAGTTTGACGTCCCATTCGAGAATTTTTCACTCATATAAAGACGTCACCATATACGGTGAAGGGCATCAAATTTTGACCTTTTCTCGGTACTCAGAGTCATTGAGCAAAGACAACATGGGGCCTTGATTTTTTTACGTCTCATCCGAAGGACCCGCAACTTTCACTTCAAAGTACTGAGAGCATGAGGGAGGAACAGATGCTACCCATTTTATCGAATTATCGGTCGCGGCCGAGATTCGAAATCACGACCTCCCGTTCATAAAGCGAGCACTCTACCGACTGAGGTATTGTGAACGGAAGTGTATTATAATAGAGTCCTTTATGTCTCCTTCCACTTTTCTGTACTTCGTTGTTTACTGTATCTGTCTTTTAATTCTTGTTTCTTTTGCTCTTCCTCACAGCTGATAATCTCAGTATCCACGTGTCCCAGGAAATCTTTCTTTGTCTTGTTTTTGCTCTTTTTCCTTGGATCTCTTCACATGTTTCGTTCGATATGTCTTTGATGAAGTGCCAGTGTTAAACAATAAGTGTTCTTCTGTTTTTCAAGGTGATACATGGTTAAGTCAAAAATTCTGAAAATAACAACGTAGGCCATGTTTAAATAAATAAAATGAATAAGTTTCTGTTTTTCAAAGTGATATCAAAGTCTTAAGTCTCTGAGTATTAAACTTCATTTGTAATCTGTCACCGTTGTCATTGAAGGCTTTCAACTTGACTTTAATGGTGGTTGAAACTAGGTGGTGGTCTGGAGCTACACCAAACCCTCTTTTTGATTATGTTTCAAGGAGGCTGTGTCTCCACGTATTAGAGATACTAGTAGTAATGGCGTCTATAGGGAAAGGGCCCAATCCTATTTACATTAACATCATTGAATAAAATATTGTTTAAATTAAATTGCATCTATTTTGTTTTTGTTTTTCCATCAGTGGAAATCCAAGTCTCTTTGTGGATGTTTTGTGCTAGTATATACTTCTTCCTTTCATAAAGTGATTGAAAGCACGAAAATCAACTATCCATTTTCATTCATGTCCTCATGTGTGTGAATACCCATGATGAGTCCTTTCCCAGAGTCGTCTGCACCTATCTTGGCATTCAAGATACCCAGCAAGATGTTTTTAAATGTCTAGTCTTGGTGACTTTTCCATTGTTGTCTCTGGTTTTATGCAATGATCTTCTTTCTTTCCAATCATCATGGTAGCTCAGAAGTAAAAGAGCTCGCTCTGTGATCAGAAGCTCGTGAGTTAAAATCTCGGCCGCGACTGACCTAAGTTGATAAAAATAAAAATAGGTAGCAACTGTTCCTTCGCCGTGCTCTCAGCACTTTGAAGTAAAAGTTGCATATTCTTCGGATGGGACCTCAAAACCGTGACCCCTGTCACGTCAGGCGTTGGCACGATAAAAATTCCTCATTGTTCAATGGCCCTGAGTGCCTAGTGAAGGTCAGAATTTGAAGCCCTTCACCGGTTTATGGTGACGTCTCTCTGAGTGAAAAAATTCTCCAATAGGACGTAAAACATATACATACATACAATTAATCAATCAATTTGTTGTTACTTAAGATGCAGTTGGCTTTTGTTGTATGGTGAGTATCATTGAATCAGTTACTTCTCTTCCTTTGGAGGAGAATTTTGATGTCATAATCCTTGGTGAGATTGGTTACCACTCAATCAGTATATTGACTGGAACTGAAGACATCGTGATGGCAACTCCTTCAGTGTGTTCATGGTTTTCATCTGAATGTCCAGAATAGATAACCATCTAGTCAGTAAAGGCATGCCGGTTCCATTGCATCTGCTCCTACAAATTCAGAGTAGTGGATGTTGTATCTCATTGTCTCTCGTGCTACATGGGCTGCCTTCTCAGTTTCAGACATGGTTCGCACGTTTCAGGTTCCTATCCTTGTTACTGCTTTCATCGTCAGGTGATCTTTCGGCCGACTGGTTTCAATACGGCTTTTACCAGCCTGCGTCTAACAACCTCTAGTTAAGGTTCCTCCCTAAATCGAGCGTTGGATTTCTTCTGTCTCTCTGGTTTTGTAGTGTATAATTTTACATGATAGGGCTGCTAACCCTATGCAATTGAAACTCCCTTGGCGCGAAGAACCATTGGTTTTCTGTTGTGGTTTCCCCTAGTCACAAGTCCCAGTTCCGTCGGATGCCACTGTCATCCAACGTCTGAAAGCATTAGTAGTGTTCATCACGAGCAGGTGTGTGACATATGACTAGCTGGTAGATTCTTTATGAGTTGGAAGGCATTAACTCAAAGTTTTGTTGATGTAACTCAGTAAATTCTGTTACATTCCTCCACACCTTTGCCAGCCTTTGACCCCATATCTAAATTTTAAAATCAATAATCTCTCTTTATCATAATTTCAAATTTAAAAAAAACAATGTTTCAAAAACTACATAGCTTATAAAAAATTACATGACAGGGATAGATAAAATAAATTAAAGAATTCAGATGATGGTAGCCGTTTGAAATCAAAAGAAGACATTGACTTATAGAAAAATTCAAAGGAAATTTAATTACATAGTGCCCAATAATTACATGTAAAAGTACATTTTTAAGATAAAAATGTTCTGATGAAACTTATAAACAAAATTAATTCGAGGTAGATCAACACATTTTATCTGTAAAAACATTATTTTTATTTAAAAAAAAATTACATCAAATTATGACAAACGTCCACGATGTTTTTTGAATGACTCTCATATATTTTGTAAAATAAATACTGTTCCTCAGAAAAATAATAGGATTGAGCATGAATCGTGATATTTGGAAGGTGAGGGGAGAATATTTTTGGAGGGTGAGGTGTAAACCTATTTAAGGAGACTTCAATTTTATAATACATGATCGATGGTAAAATATAAACTGGACTATACCGATATTTCCTTATGTGTGACATTCCTCACTCCAATTAAGTGTGACGGGTCTAATGATCTTGTGTGTGTCTATTGAACCGAATCCACAAAAACATCTTTCGCCAGTTGACCGTATAGTCCACGCTTGGGTTTTTTAGTACTGTACATCATGGCATACAGCTTTATTGTAACTAGTGGAATATTACTGATGCTGGCGAATCAAAACTCAGGTATGATTTGAAATATATTTATTAAAGGTGTGAAGAACCAATTTTTTATATAGATGTAATTCAAAAAGATATATCAAAAGATAAGAAATAGCTTTGATTATATGAGACAATTCACACCTTTTTCATGTTGTCGCCCGGTTTGGATCCTACAATCACGCAGTTTTATTAGGAATGACCGCAATATGTGGTAAAACGTGCATTAGTAGTGCAATAAAACCCTTGATTAGAGTGAATCAGTCGGCAAAAAGGAAAATAAATCTTTATATTATATATATAATCAATGCAATGCTATAATTTCAATTATTTAGGTTTTAAATTGTATAATGAATATCATTAGGGACATATTTTATACTAGTGCATCCCTGATATCATTAATACTAATGCTGTTAATAATACTTGTGGCGGTTCTAATTGGATTTTAATTTCACGAACTCGAGTCCTGTAAAGTACCCACACTGTCAATTTCCTCCATTGGATGTTTGTGATGTAGGATAGAGGTAATGGGGGCGTCATTATCCCTGGAAAAAGATTACATGGACTCTATCATTAACACGGGTGGATCAATTAAATATCGTGTCACTTGTCAAGCACGGTCTTATGATCTTCTAAATGACCAAAAAATGTCGCAATAAACAAGCTGTGTTTGTTACATGTATAAACACAAATGCCAAAATATTCATTATTCGCATTGTGAACAAATTGTGAAGAAAAAGTCTATACACATACTGTTGACACTTTTTGGGTATTTACTTTTCAGTAAATACATATAAGTAGATAATTGGGCACCCTTTTAAAAAAAAATTAACAAACCATATAGAAACTTTCAATAGTTTTTATAAGTGCCACAGTACTTGTCGCTGTGGCACATAATAGAAACCCCACCGCTCAAAGGCCATAATAGCTATGTATTTTGCAACTAAAAATTTTTGTACCTTTGAAAGAATCTTACTTAAATAAAGTGGATAGAAGGGATGAAAAAGGTTACCCCGACCTTCAGGGGCCTACATAAAATTGGGTACACTGTAACAGGTATCAGATTGTAATTGTAGAAATAATATGTTTAAGATTTTTTTTTGAAGTATAAAAATAATTAACGCAGAAAAAAAGATGTTGTTTATTTCTGTACAATTTGCAAAGCAACAAATATGATTTAAAAAATCAACTAAAGAATACAAAATACATGCATAAAATCATAAGAAAAGACTCTTTACAAAAATGTGCTAAACTTTTACTGTTATTTAAAGTTATTTATGTTTTTATGGATTTAATATAAAAAGTGATACATGTAACAACGTACAACGATCTATCTCAGAAATCCAGAAAGGCTCGGTCAAAAACAAGGTCTCCGGGAAACACGGGAGCTGGACTAAGCCATTCCACATAATCACCCCGAGAAATCAGTATATTTGGCTGCTACTATGATATGCCTGCGATTTTTCAACATAGCAAGGAAACCTATGTTTGTTTAATGTTGTTAGACAAAAACTTCTTACACTATAATCAAATTCTTGCACCCCCCTCCCCAAGATGACTTTTGGACAAATGATGGAATGTAATATACAGTGTACATGTACGTCTTTAAATAAACCTTTTTGGAGAGTAACTAAAACATAATTTTTCCATTTCAACTATCAAAAAGAGAACAGATTAGGAGGGATGTTGTTTATAAGATGAATACTCTGTTTTTACTAGTAATTTAAGCAATTACATGTATCTCTTTAATAACGCGTGGTGGAATTTTAACACATATTAAAGCTCACAGCTATGAAGATTTCTTCCCTTTCATTGTCTTTCAAGTATGGAACGCCTGAAACCAAAGTTATCATTACCATTTCTGAAGTAAAACCAAACTGATACACTTACCATATTTTTCTGTAATTGTAGGGTCAAGAATTATCGATAATTTTGATGAACATTTTTGATAACTATATAATTTACCAATCCTTTCAAATAATTACCCAAGTCTTCAGCTACCGAAAGCGATTCTCTGATTTCTGATGCAATGGTTTTCACTGTCGATTATGTATCCACTGTTTTAACCCATGTTAAAATAAAAAAACAGCATTTTTTTTTTATATTGCTATCAAAGATTGGAATACATTGCCACTGGAGATCAAAGAGGTGAAAACAAAACAAAGTTTTAAGAAAGCTGTAAAATCTTTTTTTATCTACATATGCTAGTGTTACTACATAAAAAGCTTGTCTAATTTTATCGCTTATTTACTATTTTAGTATGATAAGTATTTTGTGATAATTATAAAGATAAAATGTGCTACTGTAAACATGTCATTTTTCAAAGCATTATGCTATACTCATAAAAGTACCTGCCTAAATTCCAATGTTTACGTAATTTTGTTATTTTTTGTTTACTAACATGGCTGTTATTTGAGGACCCCATTGGAAATAAGCTTTTTTAATAAGGCTTTTATGGGCTATCCTTAGGTAATATCTATCATCTGTATGTCATGCAATTTATTTAATGATAATTACATATATATGTTAAATTAGATCTTCCTTAAGTAGCATAGTGCTGAGATAATGTGTGTGTATTTCTTTTTTTTCTAGTAGTATGCTAGTCTGTAATGTTTTAATATGTGAATCATGACATTCTGTGATATTTTTACCTGAATAAAATGAAAATGACTGTTCATATTGCTTAACTTTTTCTCTCCCATTTTCTAAGGCCAGACGACACCAAACACATGCATCAATTACATGCAGTTCTTAAAACAAAACAAATAGAAATACATGGAACCCATTTCCCATTTCTTTGTACAGTTTGATATTTTGACCTCAAAGAAGTGCCTGATTTGCTCTACTGTTATTATGAATTGCTTTTGTAGCTCTCCGGTTCCTGCTTTTTGTCGGCCATGATGAGATGAATTACACGGACGCCAGAGAAGCTTGTGAGAATACCGGGGGAATTCTAGCGGCTCCGAGCTCCTTCACAGAGGAGGAAAAACTAGACGTGATGCAATGTATTCCTCCCAATACCGTCTTCTGGACCAACCAGAAAGGATCCAAAGACGGTGTGTGTTTACCAAAATGAATAGAATCATCTTAACAAATTAATTAATAGTACATGTATTTCTAATCATAATGAAATAACGTTTGGTCTTTTGGCTTTAAGGACATGAATTTCTTTCCAGATCTAGATGCAACGTAAAATTGATTTGTTTTATAATTACAGCCTGTTTAATTAATTACCATTTGGAAATTAAGTGTTTCTATCAAAGAAGATATTACACACACGCATTTCTCTGTGAGGCAGGTATGTATAAATGGAGAGGGCGACTTTTTGAACAAAAATAATTAACATTTTAAAATTTACCTAAATTTTTATTAAATAATAGTCCTTTTAACAATAATTCCATTATCATCGACATTTGTTTTTTATGTTTCCAAATCGATTTTAAAACAAGACTCAGACAAATATGTTGATTATATAAGAGTATTATCAATCTTGTTAAAACTCAATATTTTGTACACACAATGACACTGTGTTCAAATATGATCTTTCGTTTAGGTCGTTTTTGATAATAAAATGCCTTCTTTTAATTAGTATGCGAAATAACATTGCAGCTGTTGCAGAATAAAGAAATTCATAAACCCCCCGCGTTAGCAGGTCATATTTTTTCTGCAATAGCTGCAATCTTTTATTTCCGTATGCTTGTAATTAAATAAAGATATTTTTTGTTCCGTGGTTACAGATGTACATGTATCAAATAGTTGAAATTAACAGATCCCAGAAAGACGCCCATATTTAAGCAAATTCCTTCGTACACTTATGTTTAAGAGATACGTTACAGAATTGCATAGTGTACATATAGTAATAACATAGTGAAGTATATTTATTGTATTCCAGAAAGAGACTCTTTCCGGTACACATACTACGTCAGGGTTGGGGATGTGTGCAATAACCTAGACCACAGTCTCCCTACCCTGTCCCAGGTCCTGAATTTCACCACACCTACACCCATAAGACCCACTAAAAGACCAGTTTCCATAAGGACCTCCAGACCAATCAGAACTATACAGACTATCGGAACACAGTCGCCAAGTGGCGATGGAACGACCTCATTTCCCGCCATTATAAGCACGTGGGACAGTTACAACGAAACGAACGTTGACAATCGGAATAAGAGAAAAGAGGCCGGAAATATGTCCAACATAGGTACCGAATTAAATAATAAATTATCATCAATATAACACTTCAGTGCAAAAATACAGACGGCATTTCTATAATAAGAACAGAATTAAATTGTAACAGTGACTATGAACTCTTAATTTGTGATGATGTTTTGAATTTTAAAGATAGAATATGAACAAAAAGAATCTTTAAATAAAAAATGTTTGCAAAGAAAAACAATTTCAGAAAATCATCATAGGCTTGTTGCTTTCGATAAAAAGTTGTTTTCAATAACAAGACATTTCATTTATATATTGTTTTACAGGAACAACTGCTGCGGTTATAATATTTATTTTGGTTCTCGCATTTACAGTACTGGGAATATTGTACGTCTATTTTAAGAGGAAGTATGTATATTTTTAGCAGTTTATACACAATTTGTGATTTTAAAAATAAAACCACACGAGACAATCAATTCAATTAAAATTTTAAGCTACATGTATTTTCATTGGCTCAAATGGATTGATTTCTATTGTTTTAGAAAACCAGACCTTCTAAGAAGAGCGTCATTTTGGAAGAAACCGGAACCCGCACAAAATGAGTACGACACGGTACATCCTCGGCCAGGACAGGAACATTCGTATGGATGCATGAGGGCATCTGATCCTCATGAGGACTATTTACAACCAAATCCCTCCGCCATCCGATCACGGAACATCGATAACATCGATTATCTGGTGGAGGCAGATGATAATATTATTTCTGGTGTAGACACTATATCATCGAATGGCCAGTCCACGTTAGAAAACGATTATGACTACATTCATATAGATGATACAAATTGCAGCAAACCGCCACAAGCAAACACGTATAGTCTTGCCCGAGCTATTCCGATTACTAACGACTACGAAAAATGTAACCAATCGCAACCTAAAGATTCAAAAGTTTCATCACAACATGATTATTATAACACTTTCAAGGCGGTTAAACCTAATGCAGAAAAGAAAACCAATTCCACAGAAAATGATTACGACAGAACAAACGTCACATAACTTTTTTATGTATGTGCATTACATATTATTCCTTTACTGATTTGTTGATGATGTAACATTTTGTACATTTGTTTTTAATCCAAATAAAAATTCATATCATTGTAACTATTAAAAATTGATTCGAAAACATTCAATGATCTTATTTTATACTCTCTCTCTCTCTCAAACAGTTTTCTTTTAAACTTGCAATGATCGATAGAGAATAATGTCATGTATCAAAAGCAGTTGATAGCATCGAACGCCATCACTGCCTTATAGCATACAACTATGCATTTATTATATCAATTTATCATTACGTGATGTGAACATATCTTTACATTATGTCCATTTTTTATGAGATGATGTAAATATATCTTAACATCATGTCAATGCTGCATTACATGAAGTAAATACATTCTTTCATTATGTCAGCACTTTATAACTTGAAGTAAAAAATTCATTATGTGAAGTGATAATGTGTTTATATTGTGTTAAAACTTTATTACGTGAATTGAATGTTTCTTTACATCATTTCATTTCTTTAGTATGTGAGGTAAAAATTGTATTACGTCAAGTACATTGTGTTTTATAATTAAACTTATTATTACATGAAGTCAAAAGCCCATTCCTTTTTGAGAGTGTATATTTCTATTATATCAAAGCATTATTATGTGATATGGATTTACCTTTATTTTACGGCGAGGGCATCATGATGTGAGGTGAACACAGCTTACCTTTATGTCAGTGATTTATTAGGTGGTGTAAAAAGTGTATAATATAATGTGAACATATCTTTATATTATATCAACACTTTATTGTCGCATATCTGCGGTGATTTTCTTTGATCTTTGTGTGGTGATATATCCAAAAATTGAAGATGATTTAGTTAGAAGTGGCAAATCATTTCCACATGATTTACAGTTTGGGTTTAGAAATGATTACGGATCAATTCCAGCTTGCTATGTTCTAAAAGAAGCTATTAGTTACTATGTAGATAGAGATTCTCCAGTTTTCTGTGCATTTTTAGACAATGAAAAAGCCTTTGACAGAATCTGGCACAATGGTTTGTTATTTAAGTTGTATAATCTTGGATTAGATCCCAGATTTTGGCAAATTTTAAAATACTGGTATAATGACAGCAAGTGTTTTGTTTCATTTTGTTTTGTAAACTCCAATTTGTTTAAAATTTCACAAGGTGTAGGACAAGGAAGAGTACTTAGTGCTTTTATGTTTCTTGTGTATATTAATGATTTATTATATGAGCTATGCAAAAATGGCAAAGGCCTTTTACTGGGTGATTTACACATTCCAGGTATTCTATTAGCAGATGATACTGCTTTAATGAGCAATTCACCAACATCATTACAGTGTTTACTTAACCTTGTAGAAAACTATGCATTTACCTGGAGACTCCATTATAATCTAAGTAAAAGTGTTTTTATTGTATTTAGAAAAACCAAAAAATGTTACATATCTTGTAGCGCTACGCTTTTTGGCAGTGAAATACCTCAGTCTGAAAGTACAGTGTATGCTGATTGTCTTCTCCAGGCAAATATGAAAAGTGACAAACTTACAGAACGAGTGTGTAAAACTACGAGATCAAAATTCCACTCTTTATATTCTATTGGTGTTAATAACTCTGACATTCATCCCGTTGTATCCGCAAAAATATGGAAACGGGTCGTGCTACCGTCTGCCCTCTACTCTTGCGAGATATGGCCTTTATTACCACTAACAGACATGCAACAACTTGAATATGTTCAAAGACACTTCGCCAGGATTATTCAAGGATTCTCAAAGTTTTCTCCATCGCTTTCAAGCATATCGAATATTGGACTGTGGACCATACAGGGCTACATTGATAAATGTCGCCTACTTTTCCTTGGTAGACTCCATAGGTCAGAACAAAACTCTGTACATTATCAGATCTATAAGTTTATTTCTGATATTCATGTATCTGAAAAATTTTTTGTAACCAAAAACATGTTACAAACGGCTAGCAAATACAATCTCTTAGATATGTTTGAAAACAATTGTAGCATTCTATACAGTAAAAAGGAATTTTCAAGAATGATTATCAAAACAATATGGACAGCAGAGGAAAATCAATGGCGTGCTGCTCTGTCTGTAGATCCTGTTATGTCTTTTTTCAGTAAAATACATACTATGTTGAACCCAAATAAATTGTGGCAGATCCCTCAAAAAGATTATTAATCAATTTTTTGATTCAGGTTTCATCGATGAAAATTGTTTGTAAATTTTGTCAATTTTGTAATAAGGTAACAAGTAACTATAATATGCGCTTGATGTTAAGTATAGGTTACATCATAGAAGCCGAGTAGAATTGATTATATCGTTTTCATGGGGCGTGGAAATCGAGGGCGCGGAGCGCCCGAGATTTCCACGCCCCATGAAAACGATATAACCAATTGTACGAGGCATCTATGATGTAAGCAACTTGTCGCATGTCTGATGACGTAAATTTCATTGAGAGTGTCAAAATAAAAAAAGATATTCAGAGTCATAAACTTAAAATTCATTTCAAGCTAGCTCTCCAACATGTCGGACGTTCTTAGTGAATTTGTCTTTGACTTTTTAACTGAGTTTGAAGATTTTGACAATTTATTTTTTAGGTTAGCACTCGACAAATGTGAAATCACAGAAGCAAATATCAAGGAGTTTAACGATATAAAGTTTGGAGATTTTTCCGTAACTGTCAAAATTTCAAAATGGATTAATTTTTTGAACGACTGGGAACTTTCAACCGAGTTAAATACATGTGTATTTTAATTTAGTTAAAGGCTAAGAAATAGCTTAACATCTTCATTTTTCTGTAGTTATGAACTAGTGAAATAAAATTAGTTTTTTTTCCCTCATGACCTGATTTCTGCCTCCTGCAGTGATATATGAAGGGGCGTGGAAAGTATTATCGCATATGTGATATGGGATATATCACCACAGAAAGATCAAAGAAAATCACCGCAGATAAGATAAGATAAGATAAGATATTCTTTATTTCCTCCAAATTAATGGAGAGTTTGTATGAATTAACAGATAATTAACTACTCAGTAATTAACAACAAAAATTGCAAAAAAGAAAACATATATATATATGTACAATTTTCTGCTAGGACATTACAGGTTTCGACAGTCTATGGCAAACAGACTTTTGTTTTTATAAACTGTTGAGGCAACTATTATCATTATGCGTTTCCATTTTGTGAATGATATGTTTTCAAAACATGTGCCTTGAACACACCCCATTAAAGATAAAAACTGTAGTTCAGGATCTTGATCCTCAAACAAAACATACTCATTTACATCAAGTATATCTAAAATGTCCTCAAACATATTTTCTCTGTCGTCTAATAGTGTAAAGCAACTTACAGTATGTCAAAACTCCATTCCGTGATGTGGATATATAATTACGTTATGTCAACTCTTTCTAATGTGATTTAAAAATATCTTTATATTGTGTTAACTCTTTTTCATGTTGATTCCCAAAGTTCATTACCTGATGTTAAAATACATTTACATTATCTCAAAGCTGTATATCTAGTATATAATGAATTATGACGACCGTGTTTTAATGACTGGTAAGAAGGGGGGGGGGGGCTGATTGACTTGGACGAATTACAGGCACATAAATTCAACCCCTCTCCTTTCCCAGACATAACTTTACTATAGAAAATGTAATGTTCATTGAAACTGTACAGCCCCCATCCCCTACTTTTTGCTGAAGTATTGTCCACTATAGGGTAATGTAGTATATCTGGAAAAAATAGTACTGATCGAAGTTGGACCCCTCTCCATGAAATAGGATTTTCTGGTTTTGACAATTTTTTTCTTGGCTTGTCAAGTTTTTTAGGGTAAATATTTTTTTTTCTGACTGACCCCCTCTTTCAAAAAAGATGCTACGTCACTGGAATCAGTAAATTTTTTAACCCTTCCAGGGCTAGAATTCTATTACAAAAATCTACCAGTCGCTCATCTAAATCAATTGAATATGCCTTAGTAAGCATGCATGGGCACATATCAGTGGTGGATATGGGAATCTTGAACAAGGAAGGGGGCGGTATATGGTTGGAGATCGAGGGCGAAAAGCGGAGAAACTTTCAGGCTTTATAGTTTTCTAGAAAAAAGTTTTCAACTTAATTCATCTAAACTTAATGTGAAGCTAATGCAATGTCTTACAAAGTTTAAGACTTTAAAAAAATTGTTGCACGACTCATAATATTTGATTTATTTAATAATCAGATTAAAGTAAACACCATTGAATTTCGACGTGACTTTAATTCACAGTCGCAGTGTTAAAGATGTCATTCCCAAATCGCTGAGAATCTCTTCTACGACAGTTTTCTCTCCCGCCATTGTCAGTGCTTGCGGAACGCGGAAAATACGTTATGTTCATATAAAGGCCGAGGATACCCGTGTTCGCATAACGTAATAGTGAATTGACATAATGTAGAAGAGTGCGCACAGTATGATATGAGCTTTTCACATCAGTTAATAAAAACTAAGTTGGGCCAAAGTTTTTTTTTTTTTTTTTGGTTTACAATTTTTTGACACAAAAATATGCATTGGGTGGTCGAAAAATAAAAATAAAAATAATTTGGAACCTTGACATATTTTTTTCTTGAGTAGCATTGAAATGGATTCAAATAAAAATAATAAACACACAAGATTTTTCAACTTTTAAAATAATTTTTTATTATCATTCGGTTTTAAGTCAAGAAAAATGAATCACACGTCAAATGACTCAAGAACAGAAATGGGAGTATCAGGCTCTGTTACTGTTGATGGTTTTCATTCTTCCGACTTACAAGTCTAAGTTTCCATAATAGAAACATATACTGCACTTGGACAAATATGGGTAAAATTAAGCAAATTGGCTATTCTCTGGTCAGCCTTTCCACTTACGAAATTTTTTTTGGGAAACTTCGAAAGTGATTGCTTTCACAACAAACCTTTACCTTAAGATATGTGTGTCCAGGAACCAACCTAGACCCACCCGATTAAGG